CAAATTTTCTATCCAGTAAGTCAGGGAATACATTGATAACCACCAAATGACTCGTAGCCATTAACCGGATTACTGTAAAGTAAGGGAAGCCTACATCTGAAATTGAGCCTTTCATAGTCAAAAAACTAAATCAATCAAAGTCAATTATGTGTTCACTTGACTTCTTCTTATCTTTTTATGTTAAGTACATTATAAGTAATAAATATATTTTTCAGTGGAGAGTGTTATGGTTCCACTTTTATGTGTGCTGTTATTAGATGTCGTTACTGCTCAGTGGGGTAACAACCCGTTTGGTGGATACTATGGTCCAGGCAAGTTATCTCATACTTAACAAATGGGGAGCTGTGACCCAGATGTCCATGTTCGTGACCTGCTAGGCCTAGCAGTGGGTTCATAAGCACTTTTCGTGAACGCTCATTGTTTAAAGACGTTATTCGATCCTCGTGGCGGAATAACAAGACGAAAACCCAAAACAACGATCAGTGGGTACGCCAGCCCTAGAGGTCAATCTGGCCTCAGCCGAGCGTCGCCACCCCCAAGAGATTCTGTGTATTATATCTCTGTGTTATTCTGTTATTCTCATAGATCACGTTTATGGTCCCATTTCTATATGCTATAGCTATAATATGCTGAAGAAAATTACTGGAAATGTAGCAAAGATACCATCGCTTTAGTTTAACAACCGCTATTTCACACCGCACCGCGTTCCATATGTCATCACAAGAGTGCTGAGTTGCAGGCAAAAGTCGAATCCAGACGGATTCGGCTCCTGCTGACACCGTGCCGACTGTTTTTGACAATTTTAAGTATACCGCCTCCACTAGATGCACGATAAATAGAAGGATAAAGTCTTTGCCGTTAAATCAATCCCTTTGTGGGATGCGGCACGCATTCTACTTCCATTCAGAATCGTAGTGGCTTATTGAATGCGATGTGGCCTATACAATGACTTGCGGTGGCCAGCCGATGTACAAGTCAGTGTTTTATCCTCCCAGACGAATCTGGTACCAATTCACCGTCCCCGGGGGTAGAAGGCTTGGTTGGCCTGGGCGGGTGTCGACCTGGGATTCGAACCCAGGACCGCGCGAGTGGTAAGCGCGCCACTTGTCACTACACCACCTCCGCGCCAATAAATATCCGCCATGAATAAATAAACAGATGAAAGTACACCTCCGGACCTTTCTGTCTCGGGAGCACATCTACTTGCACCTAGGAAGCCCTTTGTAGAAGTTGCACCTTCCCAATAGCTCTGCGTGAAAGCGTTGTGCATGGCGCATCGCAGAGGTGATGCCAATTGGCGCCTAATGAACTGTTTCTTGATATCCTTGGCAAAAACATGCGTTTCAAAAGCATACCAAAGTTTTTAAACCAAGCGGAGGGCTTCGGCGGTGTTGATTTTTAGTGTCGTGGGGCAGTGGTCACGAGATGATCACAAGGGGAGATTTTTTCGAATAGCAGGCCTAACGATAAAATGAAAGTTGTGCTGGAAAGTGGAAGGCTTCATGCGTCCGGCACAGTTCTTTTTTTCAAAAGACCATATAAAGCTTGCCATGGATGTGGCGACTCGGGGTTGGGCCCCCATGATCACAAGAGGATCACAAGGGTGAAACTTTCCAGAAAGGAAATGTTTCAGGATTCCAGTATAACGAGCGAAGTCGTCCAAGATGGCTGGACGACTTCGCTCGTTATACTGGAGCAAGGACCAGAGACATGACTAGAAGATGGACGACATTATTCACCGCTGCCGGTTCCTCGAGAATCTTCGCACAAATGATCAAAAACACTCTATTTGTGTCTGTGCGATAAAGAATAAAGTATAAGTATAAGTATTAGTATTAAATGTTTCAAATCGTTCAATCCAGGTAACAAGAGCCAACCTAGCTCTACTCATTCCCACTTCCCCCTCTCCGAGAGTTTTACTTTCAACGAAGTTATAGGTGTTCAAAAAGGGGGTACTTTTGAGTGTTTGGCTTGAAATTGGCTTGAGGACGAAAAATAACGCGCACCAATGAGCTTGTATTAGCGCGCCGCGTGTGGGTGACGTGTAATGCAAGAGGGACGCAGCGCATGGGCGATTGGATGCAATTACACTCCTTGCGCGCTTTTTGGCTACCGTATCCCTCACGCCTAATTTTAATGTTTTGCGAGGGTTTGTTGTTGACAGCGCGGCCAAAGAAGCAAAGGAAAACGATGCGAAACAGAACGTTTGCAATGTACAGGGGGTCGTATCAAGACCCTTATTTGGAGGGGGGTCGTATTTTTCAGGAAATGATCACAACGCAATGGCGCGCCTGGCTGCACCAGGCTCATTCGTCGCTGTATAGCCGTTCGCCGAGCATGTTTTCGAACACGGAGAACAACATAACTACAGTACGGACCTCGATCGCTGAAGGAGCACTTGGGTTATGGCCTTTTTCATGAAATCGTTCAATTGCGATCTTCTTCATTTATTTTCAACGTTCATAAACACTCATAAGGATTAAACAGGACACCGTTGATGATATGTGTGGAAACACTTAATGCAGAAATATTGATCGCAGGTTGTGCATCTTGTATTCACTAGTATTGTGTGGTTTAGCGTACGGAGCACCATTCGTCCGGGAAAGGTTCCTGTAGCAGAGACGCAAACTCTTCGTTCAGTATGTCCAGAATAGGTTGGATTTTGTACAGCCTGTTGCTCTTGTCGGCAGTGTTATTGTCGGCGAAATGCAAGCAGTTCAATATCTGTATGAATCGATTCCTACTCATGAGCTTTGCTGCGAACGACTCACTAAACACCTTTCTTGTCGACCAAAAATCTTTGAGGTTTGACCTGATTTCGAGTCCCATTTGGAAACAAATCGCCAAAAACTTCAGTAGTTCGCCCTCGTCGAGATTAATCCAGTTTGAGTACTTTGCGATAGCATAACGATTGGTTTCTCTTACAATCAAATCAACGAGATCGTTTGTGAAAAATCGCCGGAAAAATTGGATTGGGTACTGGTAAGATAGAACATCTTCATCCAGTACACCACCGAAACCTTGGAAGTCAAAATTGTTCTGCCTGCTGATATTTGGGGTCCATTGAATCCCTCCATCGTTTGTATCTGAGCCTTCTTCGCTTGATTCCCAATCGGACTCATCACTTGAATGATTCACGCGGACAACCATATCTTCTGGGGTATCAGGGCCCTGTTCCATCACTTCGTCATCACTTTCAATCAGAAGTTCATCAAACGATCTATTCAGCGCGTCCATCATTGCCTATCTGGAACTTCTGCCATAAATTAGGCGTAGTTTCCCAAAAAATAGCCTGGAGAAGCGAAATGACGTACGTTGAGTTTATACTTCGCTGCGGGCGCGAGAAATACCGCTCTGCGTGGCCGCGTGCTGCACCATGTGCAGCACGCCGGCGAGGTTGCGAAATATGGCTCGGGCACACGCGGCAGCCAGCGAAAAAACGCCGCGGTACGCAATGGGTTAAATTAGAGGTATGTAGGGGAGGCAAAAATGCTTAATTTCCGTCGACCTGAACTCCAGTTTGAGAACTTAAATATTAGAGGAAACGAAAAGTTCAAAATAATCAAAAGGACTGTCTTTAGGGTAAGAAATTCTCTGCAAAACAATATAAAAAATAATTAGCGAAGCTCTCACTTTTGACGCATTTTTTCAAGTAAGAAGAAACGCCATCATCTATGAGTCACCAATATTTGGCAAGCAAAGAAAAATGTGTTACCGTGATTCCGTTTGGGAAAATACTGAAATTTCGGCAGCGTATGGGTTTGCGTTGAAAAAGCGGCCTCCGGTCAGAAATATTCTCCTGTCTTTCCTATTCCTAGTTCCGCATCTAACGGGAGAAGATTTTTGAAAGCGGGAAGAATCCAGTCGCGGTCTTGACGTGCGTAAAAGGACTGCAGAAATGTAGTATTTTGTGTACAACATGTATGGAACTACTTTAGCACAAGCTAGCAGCCTACATGCTTCCAAAAATTTCGGTCACATCGTTGCTTTGAATAAGCATTTCAAACACCTGAGAAGTGGGATTCTTTCCGGGTGCGGCGTGTAAGTATACATAGCTGAAGACATCTGATGTCCTTCAGAGATTGTTGTGGTATTTTCACATTGATGACGTTTCTTCTGATGAAGATGACCTTACACGACGAAAGACAATTAGGATCTCATATGGCCTAGGGACATTTTTGGTTTAACAGGTATTGCTACTGTTGTCATATTTATTACTTTCTTACAGCGCCTCCCTATCCTCCTAACGGTAATATCGGTGTCGGCTATCCAACAGCCTACGGCTTGTGGCTTGGTCGAGGGAATTGGGCAAGTTTTTCTGATTTGGTTTCTCTACAAACATCATGAGATAAGTTGATACCCTGATGCTCCTCACTCATGAATTTCCCTTCTTTCAAACAGGGACCCTCTTCGTTGCAATGAGTTTACCATTGAAGTTCAGAGAAAGGGTCAGACTTTGTTTCAGCCAGATTGCCGAGAAGTGGTAGTAAAGAAAGGGGCGCTGGACACGTGATCCAGGTGGACTAGTCTAGTCCCACTAACGGTGCTGGGTCGCACTAGTGCAGTGACGCTGGCGCCATCTGCCTACAGTCATAAATTCTCGCAAACGATACGGCATGTGAAGGGGCATGGATTGGAGCGCAGCCAACGCGGTCTTTTCCGCCAGTAATGCCATTCTGAGGTGAGTCCATGTCAATTTGTGGGGAAGGCCGCCCTGGCTGCTCTGCAGTCCGTGTTTCGCAGGCTTTATCGTTTGCAGCGATCCTGACCATACTTTTAATCTGCCCGCTCACCTTAACGAGATGAGAGCACCAGTGAATTCCTGTATTTCATTCTTGTCTGTTTTTCACCCAATTTTTGGTTGTAAAAATGAACAAGCATGGAACGAAATAAATCCTACGACTTTTTCTCGAAAAATGTTATAATGCAAAAAATTCTATCAGTAATTTGGCTAGAGCGTTGAGGAGGTTACTGACCTTGCAAGCGCCTGTTTGTTCATTATGGAAGTTACCGTGGTAAGTAAGTTGCTATTTTGTGAAATTCAGGGTAATACATTGGCAAATACGATTCGATGTCTGAATGGTGGGGCTCATATTGGACAATGCCGTATCGATGATGACGCCATTTGCTTGGCTCTTGGTGGAAGTTGCATTCAAAGAGCATGCTGTACAACACCATTCTTCGGTCTTACCACTACCACCAAAGCACCGGAGGTTGACGGGGAGGTTAGTAGACTTTGCAAGCATGCCTAGCTCTTATCATGTCTTCTCTATATTTCGTATGAACAAAACTTCCACGATCACTGCAGGCAACGAGAAAAGAAAGCGAACTCCGCACAGTGCCACCACCAGTAGAGGGGAATGTGGAGCGCAAGGTAAGCCACTGATCGTCTTATATTACCAAGTACTAAACTGGTTAATTGGTTCTTCTTCCTTACTGACGGGCACTGAGAGTGGATTATACTCTTGCTCAGCTTCCGTCTGAGGGCAAAACGTGAAACGCTGAACCATCACAGCGCGTTCCGTTCTCATCTATATTCAATTTGTTCGTTTTTTCAAATTACTCAGTGATTTTCCAACTTTCAATGCTTTTCTTTTGTGAGCATGCCCTTCTGTATGCATGTCGGTTTGTAAGACTGCAACTACTTAGAATGCTGTTGGGTAGGATAAGAAAGTGGAGAACACTGTTTCTAACAACAATGGAAATAAGATTGGTGTACCGGTGTCATCACAAGACTCTTCGAGCTGCTCGCGTGCAGGTGAAGGTGAGCAGTGGGGGAACTGGGCACGTTGGAAAGCTAGTTAAGACATACCAAATCAGTAAGTTTTTGCCTAATGTCGTATGAGTTCGGGAAAGGGCCGCTGCGGCCACCGGTGGGAGAAAAAGTGGTAAATATAAGAAATGGACTGCTGTGAATCTCTTTCGTCACTCGGAACGCGAATGAGGTTGGAGAGGGGGAAGGGTAGCTGTCGCAAGCAAAGCACACAACACGCCATAGTATCAGCATCACAAGCTAATAGTGCTTTCCTGCACGTCCTGCTCTTGTATACGCCTGCCTCGCTTGCTTGGGGAGCTTTTGTTCTCTGCTTTAAATAACAGAAGGCAGCTTACCGCTCATGTCATTCTCGGCGGAATCTGGAGAGATGTTGTTCTCCGCACTTGATAACGAATGAGAGAGCTCGTGGCTCATGTTGTTCACGGCGGAACCTTGGCATAGAAGACACGCTACAGATTGTGGACGTGACAAGCGGAGGTCCAGTTGATATCCACTTTCTACTACATTACAGCCTCATTTCTGCCAATTTTCGAATGGCCTGAACAGTACGATTCTGTAGCTGCTGACTTCGCACATAGCTCGGCTCCCCTTATCGCTATGTAGGGTTTCTATTTATCAGGTTGTGTGTGGCCTATCTGCTCTAAATCAGCACTTTCTGCTTTGTGCCAATCTGTTCAGTCTATGGATCTGAACGAAGCCTCCATTTGCAGATTGATCTCACAGAAATTGAAGAGCTCCTCCGCATTGTGGACAGTATACGCAGCACCATTGCCCCAAATCAGGAGGATCAGTAAGGTTCCAAGGTGAGAAGCTTGCGTTCAATTGACAAGAGGTTAGAATACTGTCCGCTCTCGATAGGTTCAAGGCTCAGTGCAAGCTCATATAGGCCAGGCCCCGGAGGGAGGAGCACCTACTGTGGAGGCGTTCTGCCTCTATTGATAAGAGGTGCTCTTCTCTGGTCTAACATGGTACAGGATATGGGCGCGCCAGGAAGAAAAGCACGGAGTTAAGACCTACTCTCCATATTATCAATGTGAGCCGCTTTTTCAAAAGAGCCATCTTCGTTGATACATTGATTTACGCTTTTTGCTTTTTGCTCAGTAGTAGTTTGTTACATCAGTTATGGCTAAAGGGGCGGGGGAGGGGGTGGTGGGTGGGCTTACGCCATCAGATATATGTGATTCCAGCATTACAAGAACACATTTCCTGTGGTGGTGTTGCCTGATAGCCTATTATTGAACAAGTCAACTCGAGCAGCATTTTTTGCGATCGCTTTTTACAAAAGCGTGGCACTCGAACTGATGAACGTGTCGCTATTGAAAACAGCTCGTACACTTGAAGGAAAACGCTACCACTACCATAACGAGTTTATTTATAACGAGTTTATTTGACGATCCGTCTGTGCCACCTCTTTTCCATTGAGAAGATGTAGGTGTAAGTTAGCGATAAATCGCAAAAACAATAGGGGTTTCGAAAAGCATTTCATTGCCATATTAAGCATCCTTATGTGCCGCATATTGCTGCCAACGCTACATTTTATTCCAATTTGTATATTCAGGGGCAGTAACTGCTGAACAAATGGACACGTTGACCGATTCATCAGTCCACTCCTTGCTTGCAGCTTTGCCTGTCTGGTCTATGTTCATATGGAATGTGTAGTGAAGATGGCGACTGTGCGCCTTCAGATCTATGTGAAAAACAACGTTGTTGTTATAACATAAATTCATTTCTACTCGTTCTTCCTTCTTACAAGGGAATGGTTTGAACTTCCCATGGAACTTTGAATGGAGACCTAGGTACATCGATAGAGCCTCGAATGCTGATTACGAATATGCAGATTAAAAGTGCTACGGGGACCTCCCAGACGAGATCTGGGTGGTCAAAGTTTGAGTTCTGGCTCGTAAGCGCTGCTGATCGATGCCTTCGGCAGTGCCACCGTGGCCTCGTGGTAATGGTCTCGCTTTCAAGTCAAACGCATGCGGGTTTGCATCCGGTTGGCGCGAAAATTTTTGCTTCGCTCCGTATAAGAGCTTCAACTCTAATTTTCGAAATTCTTCCGAATTTACGGCCCAGCAGGGCAAGTAGATCAAGTACATCAAGTATACGACGTACTCGATCTAGTATGGATTTGGTCATATCTGCCCTCTCTGAACATATTACCCATCCGACAATTCAAAGTTTTAGCGAGAAATTCGGAGATTTCGACCCCCTGAACACGAATATCACATCCTTCGACGAAAAAAACGCTCGTCTGGCCAAATTGCGATTCTGGGCAAAACTTTGAATTGTCGGATGGGTAATATGTTCAGAGGGCAGATATGACCAAATCCATACTAGATCGAGTACGTCGTATACTTGATGTACTTGATCTACTTGCCCTGCTGGGCCGTAAATTCGGAAGAATTTCGAAAATTAGAGTTGAAGCTCTTATACGGAGCGAAGCAAAAATTTTCGCGCCAACCGGATGCAAACCCGCATGCGTTTGACTTGAAAGCGAGACCATTACCACGAGGCCACGGTGGCACTGCCGAGGCATCGATCAGCAGCGCTTACGAGCCAGAACTCAAACTTTGACCACCCAGATCTCGTCTGGGAGGTCCCCGTAGCACTTTTAATCTGCATATTCGTAATCAGCATTCGAGGCTCTATCGATGTACCTAGGTCTCCATTCAAAGTTCCATGGGAAGTTCAAACCATTCCCTTGTTAGAGCATTGGGGCACATTGCAGCTCTAGACTGCGAGTACGCTTACCACTAGTTTGGTCTCATAGCATTTGAGGACAGACTCCGTAGATCATCGTTGTTGCTAAATGCGAGGTAAATGGGTTCGCAGCTGCAATAGCGTACCACCATTCTCAGTTGAAGGTGCACGGAAAGGGATGTAGGGTGGCGGTTCCTTGTTCTATCTCCCGATTCCGCTCGGGGTGACGCACGGCCAGCCACACGCCCAAGCATGACCAAACAAGCTATTAACCTGTGTCCTCCACTTCCGCTTGTTTTCAACCTCTACGTGTTACTTGAGGGGTTTTGTATTGGCGCAAGCGTTGCAGCTTGACGAACGAGAGGCCCCATTCCCGACACTTTTGAGAGGCAATGGCACGTTTCTGCAGTTGCGAACTCATACACCCCGCATATGGCAGGGTCCGTCCCCGGGTGAGTGCACAGAGTGTCTCTGAGTAGAATGGGCAGCACTTTGCAAAAAGGGACTGGTCAACCCAGGAAGCTCTGTCCATTCTTTTTTGGTTTGAAAATAATAAAATATTTCAAGGTTCTCGATGATGGTGGCAATTCTAAAGGATACTGTATTGTGAAGACACAGGAAAGTTAGTGTTATCAGATGAGGATCCTCGAACCACCTTTGTTCCAATTTTTGTGTCTCTATCTGTCAGTGAGACCATAGTTTGCTTGCCGGCTCACTGCAAGTCAGGAAATCTAGTAAATACTGTATGAACAAAGTCACGTCCAACTTTTCAAAGACTTCGGCTTCGTATCGACTGTAAGGTGCTAACTGCTGCACACAAAGTTGTCAAATCAGTTTTACTAGCATTCATCCTTGTTCAGAGCCTGAGGATCAGAGCATTTTATGACTACTCAAATAAACATTGCCACCACCCGACTGAAATTCCACACCAATATAGTAAACTTTGAATGTATAGGATTGAGTTTCTGATGAGTTTTGGCATCACTTTTCACTGAAAGGGAATGACAGTTATCATTTTTTGCCCGCTGGATTCGGTCCTAGACCGCCAAGCAAACCGCCCAAAATTGCTCCACCAATTGCGCCGAAAACTGGATCTGAAAATAACATGTCTCAGCGTTTGCAGCAGCTACAGGCGTAGTGGTTTACCAATAAAAGGTCTTCCCATCATCGAGCCGCAACACGGGCGGCAACAGCAACAGCAACACATAGGAGCACAGTTCACAGAGCATAGCAACAAGATTGTGAAGAAAGAAATCGTTATCTGAAATGCGCGGAGCAGTTGTGAATTTTCTACCTGGTGAGAAAGCCACCTGGAATGTAAAAAATATCAGGTTGATCCAAAAGCCCTCGGACATTTGTCATGTTCTCATACAGGAAAGGTTGATGAGTAGAAAAGACTGAAAGATTTTGCCTGGCTATAATATGCATTATCACAGAGGGATACAAATCCGACGACACGATACAGTCTCTTCACACCCTCTAACGCACGCACTCGTGGCTGGACAACCTAATGACGGGAGATGAAATGCGGGTACTATACTCCAACATCCGCCGCCGTGCCCAATGGGTAGACAAAGGAGGACAAGCAGAAGACGTCCCGAAACCTGACCTGCATGGAAAGAAAGTGATGCTATGCATCTGGTGGAGTGTTCGTGGGGTAGAATACTGGGAGCTACTGAAAGAAGGTACAGCAGTGACTGCCGACATTTACGTTGCTCAGTTACGGAATCTGAAGGCTCACCTCACGAACACATGGGAAAGCAGTCCAAAGTGTACTTCCAGCATGACAACGCCAGACCACGCATTGCAAGGGCGACGAAGTGTGAACTAGCGACGGCTGAACTGTCTTTCATCACCCACCATATTCTCCGGATCTTGTGCTTTCCGACTACCACCTTTTAATCTCAAATCTGCGATGCCAGTTGAACGGTCAAGAACAAAAAAAGAAGAAAAAACCCCACGACGACTAGACAATCCATGGTGCTAACGTAGTTGGAGGGGGCCACGCGGCTCTCGGCCAGTGATGACTCATCGATCGATAGCAGCGTTGACATACTAATCTAGCAGCAAAATTAGAATAAAACAAACAAGATTCACCGGAAACTTGCTGAGAAATCCCACAGAAACTGAAAACAACATTGTATGATCTTTTGTAGTCAAGAACAGCGGTCTACAACAAAAAAGCAACAAGTTTAGGCAAAATTTTCCTGTCCACAACTGTTTTTTCGCATTCTTCAGAGTTAACTGTTTTATCTTTTGAATATAGCTAGGACAATCTTATATCTATGTCCTAAACATGAAAAGAAGAGTCGATGAGTCATCACTGGCCGAGAACCGCGTGGCCCCCTCCAACTACGTTAGCACCCAATACATTGGATGGATTTTCCAAATCCCAGCCGACCACGTCTGGAAGAGGGGCATCTACGATCTAGCCACTCGTAGGCAAAAGGCCATAGATGATAATGGAGCACATGTATTTGAAATGACTAGCTGTAGTAATTTCTTCTTGCAGTAGTAAATTTTGAGCTTCGAATGTCGAGGGCTTTTGAGTTAGCCTAATATTCCCACCTACAAAATCAACATCGTACGTATAGTAAAGTCAAACGAAAGGGAAATGTTGATCGATCTTGAACACGGACAGCCAGTCGTTTTCGCTCCACTTTTTCAACGGTCTTGGTTTGGTGCAGCACGAGCCCATTTTTCACCAATTTTTGTCACCTACCCGCTTCAGCAGTTGGCGAAGAACGGGCTAGCCGATCCAAACCCAACCCTACCGACTGACATGGCTCAACGTCTGCAGCGAATGCGGCTCTCCGGGTGGCAAGCAAATTTTGTTCTCACAGAGAAGACCGGAAGTATTCCACATGCTTCAAAACTGATAAAAGATTAGTGGGAGCTGTTGTAAGACTCCGGCATATTGTGTTTAGTGTAGGGTTTGGCCAGGAGTTTCTTAATAAGATTTTATATCCATCAAACAAGGAATTTTGCGTGATGGCCGTAACCATTTGCAGTACAGGTCGAAAATCCCTCTGAATACCACATTTTTGGGGTCAGAGGCCCAAGGCAGGCCACGATCGACGTAGGCAAGAAATAG